TCACTGAATAATCATTTCTTTATACACAATAATGCCATTGTGCATAGACTGATCTTTACCTCTAAATTCAAATGGATTTTCTCAAAATTCAGGGAGCACATAAATATCCACATAAGGATTAGTAGAAGACAAGCATATAAGTTCTGAAATGCTTAGTTTTTATTTAGTTAAACTCAATAAACATGAGCATCTACTGGGTACTATTTATAAGTGAACAAGAGAAATCATGGGAACTAGGACACTGTCATGACTTATGTTTCCACTGAAAACACTACTGGGGGAAAAAATCTCTGTAAAATCAGAAGGCAAGCACTTAGAAGCTAACAAGCTGGGAACAACCTGAGCATTTGGAGAAACTGTCTCTCAATGCAGGTTAGAGGAACTAAGAGCCCTGGAGTCACGAATTACCATTTCCAGGGAAGGCACAGTGTGGTACTGGGTGGCCAGGGACAGGCACTGCGTCAGCTGGCCCAGAGGAGAGACTGCTTAGGCTTTGCTAGGTGAAGATGTTTAGGAATAGGGTTGCAGGATCTGTTACGTTTCAGACAGAGGAGCTTTCAAGAAGCTGGAGGTAGAGCAAAAACAGGAAAGACTGGATATTAGCGGAATCAAGGAGGAAACCATTAGAATAATCCTGGGGGGCTGGAATGAAACAGGGCAGAACCATGACTGATGGGTATTGGAGACAAGAACAAGGCTTGAAACTAAACTGTCCATGGAAGCAGGTGGAGGCATCTGGGCTAGCACAGCCAGTTTTACTCGTTTACTTGTTTCTGACTGAGAGGGAGACAACAGAGGAAGGACGGGCCTAGAGATGGCCAAGAATGAGCAGACGAGAAGTTCCGTCTGGGCTGCTAGGTTTAAGCAGCTCCAGGAATGCTCAAGTAAAAATGTTAAACAAGAGGTGAGGCAGACAAAGGAGGTGGAGGCACAGGCCAGTCTTACGGGTCCTAGTGATATTGTGAGTAGATGGTATCATGCAGAAGTTGTTGAAGGACAGAATAATGGGAACTGATGAAATCAGAACGCCCAGGAAAGCAAGAATCAAGTGATGAGGAGGATGAGGCCCCAAAGCTGGAAATGAGAGGAACACATGTCATGAGACAGTCTCACCAGGGCACAAGGCCACCAGATCACAACAGAGGCATCTGAGAAAAGAAGAGCAAATGCACCACATTCTAACAGCCCCTGTACGTCTTCCTGAGAATGGCCTTGGTGCAATGTGGGTATGCTAACAGATTTCAGGGAAATAAGAAGTTTTGGGACATGAGAAGAAACAGAGCACTGGATTTTGAAGGCATGACACATTATTTGTGCTGTAGAGAGGAGAACAACAGGGATTTACTAGAGAGGGTTTGGAATTTAAAATTAGACTACAGCTGCTGATTTACATAGTTGGACAAGGAATAACAATGACAGTAGAAGAGGTGGTGCCTTTGAGTTGTGGTGTTGGAGAAGAGTACTGAATATACCATGGGCTGTCCAAAGAATAAACATTCTCTGGATATGTTACTAGTAGAGGCCATTCCTTGGAAAGGGACATCAGGCCTGGAAAGATGGAGGGTTAGCAAAAGAAAGGAACACTCTCAACAAGACAGACTGATACAGTGACTGCAGCAATGGGCTCAAGTATGTCAGTGATTACAAAGGCAGCACAGATTAGAACAGGATTCAGATCTGTTATTCAGTGGGTCACTGTGAGTCAGACTTAACTCAATGGCAGGAGAAAGGTGTGGTAGTTCATTTCCAGAAGTGTGGTTACTGAGAATCCACAGAACACAGCCTCCTCTGACATGCAAGGGGGTTACCAGGAGTTGGAAGAGAAGCAAGAGAAACAAAATTTTTTTTTAAACTATCATTGATTTAGCTCAAATGTGCTCAACCAATCAAAGGCTGGTCTGGTGGTGTTGTTAGGTGTCCTTTCGTCAACCACCACTCACTCAGTCACCCTATGAACAACACGTCTGAACCTTGTCACAGCATGCACCGTCCTCACAGTCTCTACCATGTTAGAGCTCATTGTAATAGTCACTGTGTCCATCCATTTCCCTATGAGCCTTCTTCTCTTTCCCTGACCTTTTAATTTCCCCACCATGATGCCCTTTTCCAAAGACCACCCCCTCCTCACAACATGCCCAATGTATGGGAGAAGAAGTCTCACCAACATGGCCTTCAAGGAGAGCGAGGTTGTACTCACTGCAAGACGGATTTGGTAGTCCATAAGATAGTTAGTGCTCTTCTTAAACATCACAATTCAAAGGCATCAATTCTTCTTCTGTTATCATTATTCACTGTCCAACATTCAGACACACATGCAGCAAATGAAACTACCATGAGGTGGGATCAGTGCACCTTAGTTTTTAAATGGACATTGTTCCTCTTTAGGTCTGTGGTGGTGGTTGTTGTTGTTATGTGCCGTCGATTCATTTGCGACTCATAGGGACCTTAAATACAACAGCCCTAAACCCTGCTCTATCCTGTGCCAATCGCATTGCCTCTGACACATCCATCCCGATTACCCCAGTCACTGAATCAATCCACCTCATAGAGGGTCTGTGGTAAATATCTTAAAATTATGGACCAAATCTGCAGCACTCTTCCTTGTAAGTAATTATATTATAAATGAAATACTAGTAATTTTTACAGGTCATATTTACAACTCCATGCTGTATCCATTTGCTATAATGATGATTTCAGACTGGATGCCTGATGTGGTGACATTTAAGTTCAGATTTAAATGACAAAAGAAGACTGTGAGGAAGAATTATCTAAGCAGGAGGCCGAGAAGGAGGGGCCTGGGGCCAGGCATGGAATGCGATGGGTGGGGACAGGAGAGTGATGAGGCCAATGCAAAGGCAGCTTGTCCACAGCTTTGTAGTGGAAGTGGCTTAGATGGTACTGTGAGTAGAGCACAAAGATACTATAGAAATTTAAGTAAGATATTAACAGAGACAGATTTAGCTTTTCAAAGGATATATATGGGATATAAAGAGGAACTCATCTTGAGCACAGAAAGGATGTGAATAAAGAAATGAAGCTTAGACAAGAGAAACTATGTCTAGCTGGAAGTAGAAAGCCTCACAGACTACAGGAAGTATGATTTTGGACACATACTTGTGACTGTAGAAAACAGTATTAACTGAACGAAGCTGGCTGTCTTTTAGACTTTTGTTTCACTGTATTTATTAACACTTTGACATGAACACTGGTGGCATAGTAGGCTAAGTGCTGAGCTTCTAATGGAAAGGCTCCATGTTTGAAATTACTGTTCACAGAAAAAAATGAGATGATTTCTTCTAGGTAAGATTTACAGCCTCAAAAACTAGATGGAGTGATTCCACGAGTCAGAATCTATGAGCACGTGTGGTTTGGGTTTGATATGAACTCTATGGTATAAAGTATATAAACTCTATAGTAAAAAGACAAAAAGTTACACACATATTAAAATAAAAAAATTAAAAAAAGAAAAAGAGAAAAAAAGTTACACACATACATATATACAAACACATACATGCATACATTTATATATAGATAGAGATTGATAGATACACACACATACACAGACAGATATTGCCATAGCACATAAATTATACACTCATTCAGAGATGGTGAGTATGGCACAGGATAGAGCAAGGTTCAGATCCATTGTTCACTGTCACTGAGTTGTAGCTGGTGTGATGGCATCTAACAATAACAACTATACTCATTTACTTTGAATTGGTTTGAATGCATAGGTCTTCATTAGGCGCTTCAAAGGGTATAAATTCCAAGAGAGGAGGTATCCCACTTTTCTCCCTCAAGCAGCTGGGCTGGTAGGTTCAAATCACCAGAGAGTCTATGGACTATGCCATCAGAGTCTCCTAGTATATATCAGCAAACAACTTCATAACAATCTAATAAAAAATATTAACCTATGACAACAGAAGGTGCCAAGTGATTAGCTGAAAGAAAGATGACAAGGACACAAACACCTTATTAAAACTCCCCAGTGTGTAACCCCATGCAAACAGCACTGGTGCACTATAAGGACTGTGCCAGGCTCTGAGGAAACTAGTTTCACAGAGACCGCCTCTCTATGAAAACGTTAATAAGCAGCTTGGTTTTATACACTCTATACTATTTCATACAGGGAAATAACTATCTGATCCATCAAAAAGTTTATTTGATTCAACAAGCAATGGTTATTTTTAAAAGACACATTATGAAGTGATTTAAGCAACTGTCATTTGATATCACAAAAGATAATACTGGAACTCTTGTCAGTCAGTCATCCGTCTGTGGTTTGGCTTTCTCTGCTAAATTACTATAATAATCTTACTCCTACACATGTTTCTTCTATCCTTCACCTTTATAGCATCCATAATTGGTTCCATATAAAAGTGACCAGATTTTTCAAATAACTTTTTTATGACAGTTATAAGGTCATTGCATAAAACTGTCATTCAGAGTCATTTTATTATCTCTGCAATAAAGGTATACCATAGGAAGCAAGTATGTATTACTAACATGATCAATTATTGTAAGGTATATAATTAATTATTCTTTGGAATCTAAGAACAACTTTCAAACCATTAAGTATTAATAATAAAGAATGTACTAAATTCTAAGCTGGCAAAAAAAGATGTGAAGTTAATAAAAAGTAAAATTCAAAGTAACAGCCCCACCTGTCAATAAATGTAGGGGGAAAAATTAGTAAAAAGAGAATTACATTACACATTTATTACTGTATGAAATCATAGCTTTATTGGCTACTCCAGATGCCTTAAATTAATCTTAGAGAACTTGCAAAGAGACCTCATTGCTTTCAAGTCAGAAATGACCCACAGCTAACCTCCTAGCAGGTTTTTAGAGGCTGCAAATCACACAGGAGGAGACTGTCCATCTTTCTCCTGTGAAGTAGCTGGTGGATTTGAACTGATTACCATTAGGCTGGCAGTATAGATGTAGTCAACAGACTACCAGAGCTCCCTTTAAAGATCTCAGTCAATTGAACTACATACCTGTTGGAGGCGGGCAATCCTTCCAGTCAAAACAGCCTGCGTAAATGCCAGGTTCCAGGGAGCCGACGATGGGGTCTGCTTTCAACTCAATGTAATTTTCAAAGAGCCTTTGGTCTAGTTCTTTCAGTGCAGCCATGCTAACCTACAAACACATAGTAAAGGATATTTATATGGTAGCAGTCTGGGAAAGAACAAAGTAAAACAATGTAATAGCAAATAGTTTAGTGCATTTTAAAACCACTGTGATGAAAATATATACAACCAAACATTAGTCAACTCCGTAGTTGCTGATGTGTAACTGAAAGGCACTGCTTCCGTTCTTCATGCTGTGCAAGCTTGATCACAACCTTTTTTCTGAATTACCTATTGCCATTGGTATAAAGCTGATGTTTACAGTAATGTATTAGAAAAGTACTTACCAACTCTTTTTACAAAAACCTATTCTTTTACTTATCTTAAGCAATACCGATCATTCTCACTGCAGCTACTTTATGGCATTAGAAAAAATAATTCCATAGAAACTACTTAACACACTACAAGCACTTAAACATTTATTTCTGTAGGAAAGGTTTGTTTTTTTTTTTTTTTAAAAAGCACTTTAAACATTAACTTGGAAACAGTGAACTGCAATAAAAAAGGAACTATTTAAATTAATGCAACTGTAAAAACTCTAAGAATCATCAAAGGAAAAAAAAACAGATGCAAACTCATGGGCCCTAATTTATGGCATAAACAGACTATCAAACATAATAAAAATGCACATAGCAGAATATAAATGATGACTCAGACCTTAGAAAAATGAAATCCTCATGTGTATCAAAAGAATTCTTTAAAGAGTAAAAAGAGAATCAAGAGAATGAGAATAAGTATTTGGCAATGACATATCCAACAAGGGATTAATCTCTAAAATTTACAGAAAACATCAACACCTCTACAACTAACAAGACAAACAATTCCATTTAAAAATGGGTAGAGGACTTGAAAAGACACTTTGCCAGAGAAGATATACAGGCAGCCAACAAATATATGAAGAAATCCTTTTGATAATTAAATATTAGAGAGCTGCAAATCAAAACAACAATGAGATAATATCCAACTTCAGCAATAACAGCAAAGGTCAGTAAGACAGAAAACAAGAAATACTGAGCAGGGTATGGAGAGACTGGAACTTTCATGCACTGCTGAGGGGACTGTGAAATGGTGCAACTACTATGGAAAATGGCACGGCATTTCCCTAAAAAGTTGGGAACAGCATTATCATTTGACTTGGTAACCCCACTAGTAGGTATATATCCGACAGAAATAATAGGTGGGTACAAAGACACACACTCATGTCCATTGCAGCATTATTTACAAAAGCAGGCGGAGGAGCAACCTAAGTGCGCATCAGGAGATGAGTGGATAAGCTGTGACAGGCACATGGACACAAAATGACGATATGTGATATTAAAGAATAAGGACTATCCTCCAAACACCTCATAGCATGGAAAACCTGGAGGACAGTATGTGAAACAAATCAGTGGAAAAAAGGACAAATATTGTGCTAAGTCAACTACGACAAAAAGTTAGAAAAGTTTACACAGGTCAAGAAACATTTCTTCATTGGTGACCAGACATAGGACAGGATGTGAAAGAAACATACCAACTAAATAAAAGACTCAGGTCACAAGAAAAAGTTTTTTAAAAAGTGGAAACATAAAGGAGAAAATATCATTTTTTATTTCTTCTACTACCCAGTCATGTTCAAGCAAGGTGTTGTTCAGCTTCCAAATGTATGGTTTTTTTCTCCTTTATCATCCTATTATTAATTTCTAATTTTGTGGCATTATGGTCTGAAAAGATGGTTTGTATTATTTCTACATTTTTGAATCTACTGAT